ACATCTTGTAACAGGACTGCGCCAACACCCAAGTCGCTAGCATCCGTCTGCAACTGAAACGGCTTACTAAAGTCTAGAAGAGCAAGCACCGGAGCTAAAACAAGGGCAGACTTCAAAGCATCCAGAGCAGCTTGATGAGCTAGAGTCCAAATGAATATACCCTTCTTGAGAAGATTAGTCAGAGGTCTTGCCAGTGTAGCAAAGTGCTTCACGAACTTACGGTAGTAACCGGCTAACCCCAAGAAGTTGCGGAGCTCTTTGATATTCTGTGGTTGAGGCCACTGCTGGATAGACTCAATCTTCCTAGGGTCTGTAGACACGCCATTATGGCTGACAATGTGTCCAAGGTAGGAAATTGACTGCTGGGCAAATCGACATTTGGAGATCTTAACTTTCCACTGATCTCTTGCCAACAGGGTGAAGACCTGGCGTAGGTGCTGAATGTGGTCTTCGAGAGTATGGCTGTATACTAGAATGTCGTCGAAGAAAACCAGAGCACACTTACGCAACAGAGGGTGGAGAGTGGTGTTCACTGCGCCTTGGAAGGTATTTGGTGCACCGGTCAATCCGAAGGCCATGACAGTAAACTCAAACTGACCCCAATGTGTTTGGAAAGCCGTTTTATGTTCTTCGCCGGGTGCCAGGCGAATCTGATTAAAGCCAGCCCGGAGATCCAAGCAAGAAAACCAGCGGGCTTGTGCCGACTCGTCCAACAGCTCATCCACTACTAGAATAGGAAATTTACTCTTGACAGTCAAGGCGTTGAGCATCCTGTAGTCGACGTAGAACCGCCACATGCCATCTTTCTTGCGGACCAAGAGCACCGGTGAAGAGAAGGCGCTCAAGCTCGGCTGTACCATGCCTGACTGCAGCATCTCGGAGACTTGTTTTTCAATCTCATCCTTGAGCGCCGGCTTGTAGCGATACCGACGGACAGCAACTGGAGGAGCATCGGGAATCAAAGGAATATGATGGTCGCACTGACGGCGAGGTGGCAGCTCAGTTGGTTCTTGGAACAGCTTAGAAAATTCCTCAATGAGATGCTGGATGTCTTGAGGAAGCTCAGGTTGTTCAGGTAAAGGTGCAGAAGCAGCAATGTGACAAAGTTGCATGACAGAATGCTGATCTGAATCCGGCAACACGCCCTGAAGGACAACATGGTGCTGACCATAAGGAATGCTCATCCACTTGTGTTGCCAATCAACCCTCATAGGTGAGAAGGCCTCTAACCAATCCATACCTACAATCATGTCATAGGAGCCCAACTGCAAGACGCGTAGAGTAGAGTGGAAACTATGGCCTTGAACTGACCATTCAGCGCAGTGAACTTCAGCAGAGCAGAGAATAGATCCCCCATCAGCAACTCTGACTGTCATCGGTTTAGGAAGAGGCTTCAGGTTTGGCAGACCGGTTGCAAGGCGGGAACTCAAGAAGGAATGGCTGCTTCCTGAATCCACCAAAATGATGATGTCACAACCCAGCAGTGAGCCTTTGAATTGCATTGTTCTGGGAGCAGCAGAACCATATACCACTGCAGACGATAACATCATGAGAGCCTGAGCATCGGTGGTCTATTCAGAATCTTGGAGAGGAGTATCGTCAGCTTCCTGGAATGCCGCGGAACACAGATCCTAGACTTCTTGTAGAGCATGAACTTGTGGAACCGGAGCACACCGATGGCCTGGAGCCCACTTGTCGCCGCAGCGAACACAGAGTCCACGAGTTCGATGGTAATTTCGTAGTGTTGATAGCTTGTCGTCGATGGAAGTAGACTTGTTCGGAACTTGCTTCTCAGCAACGGGTTCAGGAACAGCTTAGAGACGCCTGGGTGGAAGAGGCAAGGGAAGAGCACCCTTGATTGTTGCCGTACGAGCGAACGGGGATGCTTCCGAGCACTTGAAGTCCTTGCTGATACCTTGGTCCAGCACCTCTTCCTGTAACAAGGCGAGAGTACAAGCAGTATCGAGGTTTTGGGGTCGAGCAACCATAACAACAGACCGAATGTCCTCGCGTAAACCATCAACGAAGCAAGTGGTAAAGTAGAGCTTATCAGGGTTAGCATTATAGGCTTTGAGTTGTTCAAAAAGATCAGTGAACTTTTCGATGTAACCGGAAACGGTGGAGGTGTGTTTTATGTGGAAAAGCTAGCGTAAGAGCAGCTCATGTTGATCATAGCTGAATCTCTCATGGATGAGGTTAGAGAACGACTCCCAGGATATGTGCTGCACTTTAGACTCGATAGACTAAAGCTAGTGAGCTACGGCATGGGTGAAGTGGTGAGTGGCCACGCGAACCCAGATCGCTGGATGAACCGAGTACATTTTGAAATGGGAGCAAGCACGTGACAGCCACAGCTTAGGATTATCCCCGTCGAATTGAGGAAACAACATCTTAGGGAGTTGGCCTAAATTAGGGTTGGTTTGGTGGGGAAAGTAATTAGGCTGATGGGAATTGAGTATGGAATTAGGATGTGGGTGGGCAGGGTGTTGAACGGGGGGTGGAGGAATTGGGGCTATGGGCTGTGGAGCGGAATTGGGAGAATAGTGTGGAGGTGGAAACGGAGGCGGCGGGTAGTATGAAGGCGGGTATGGGTTTGGCGGCGGTGGAGGAGGCTGAGGAGGGTACGTAAGAGGTGGCGGAGGAGGAGGATACGGTGGTGGAGGAAGAGGAGAAGGGAACTGTAACGACGGCGGAGGAGGATTGGGGCGGGTAACATACCATTGGCCGGGAACGGGGATATGGTCGTGACCAAACCATACCCCGCATCCCGTGTTGGTGAGGCCACGCTGTGCCCACTGGGCCAGTCGGTCATTGCTCCGGCAGGAGCTCGCCCGGCGACCAACTCCAGAGTACCTTTGGGCTCGGGAGATCCATCGGTAGGAGCAGCGCAGGATTGATCCCAGAGCTTGGACAACCGATCCACCTACGAGCGAATGGTGAAGAGGGAGCTCTCAATCCAGGGACGCCAGGCTTCGAACGCCTTTGCTTCGGACTCGAGGGCGGCGACCCTTTCGTCGTGCTCGTCCTGGATCTCGACGTAGCGCACCATCTCCAGATCGTGGACGCGCTCCTCCAGCTCGCTGACGCGCTCGGAGAAGTGGCCACCCAGTTGTCGGCAATGATGGCGGCGGTGTACTGGGCGGAGGCGAACTGCTCCAAGGAGTCGAGGTGGCGGTCGACGGCGGAGTCGTGCTTGCAGCGGACGGCCTCCATCTCGGTGAAGCGCCGATCCAAGCGGGCACCGAGACCGTCAAACTCGGAGCGAAAAGCGTTGAAGCGGTGAATCAAATCATCGAACATCTGGCGGACCACGGGATCCATGGCGCCATGGGTGCGTTGAAGGCGGGTGAAGTGGGGATGGGCGGGTGGTAGGATCTCCAGCACGCGCGGTGGCCGGGGATCGACAGCTCTGGTACCAGTGTTAGCCGACGAGGCGGCGGACGGCCGGCCTTGGGGAGGAAGTACAAGGAACTACGATGTATATTGACGGAAGAGTGTTGGCGATAGCCAGAAAACAATACAGTTGTTCATTCGATAGCCCTCACGACTCCTTCCTTGCCTCCTCTTATCTCACTCCGTCTTGGGCCTCTCATTACAAGACACGCAGACCCATTCCGACCCAGACAACTTCACGTTGCTTGCTCTCTTCCTCTTGGGCCTTGGCGCTGCCGACGGATCCCCAGGGTGAGGTCTGCTGACAGGTTCCGCACATTTTCAGAAACACTCCCTCTTCTAAAGCTGCATTCATTTCCCAGCTCTCTTCTGTGCCTCTCAGATATATCTGATGGCATCCAAAACTTCTCTTTCCACTTCCCAGTCGTTTCTCTCTTGCTCCTAAGACGAAGGTTAGTTCCAAATCATGCGTGAATCAGAAGGATGAAAATTGACTTTGGGATGCTTGTGCCGCAATGCTTATCTCCCCACAACTGCCTTCATCTGCAACCAGTATCCTGCACGCCATACAGGCACCAGAAATAATAAATTGATCAGGGAAGCATCTTGAAAAGATATGCTATAGCTCTTCAGCTAGTTATTTTAGGGTTTTATAGAGTTCAGTTAGTTGGCCAAACATCTAATATTGCCATAGCATGGCCCTTCTTTTAGGCTAGTATGGACTTATTTTTTGTTATTTGTTGCTTGCTGGATTTTGATTGCTGGTAGGAGAGCGGTCCATTCCCTGCTGATTTAGTAGGGAACACCATGGTACTAATTTAGTATACCTATCCAGAAGCCCTGGCTCACTCTATATTAATTAATTAATGTGTACTTGAATTTGTTCACTCGTTAGTCAATACTACCTTCAACAACTATAGGTTGGATCTTTCAAAAAATAAATCCTAGAGGTTGGATACTTCTTAAACCAACTAAAGATAGGAGACTGACTAAGGAACGGCATGGTGCTTGTTAGACTATTGTAATTATAGTATATGTAATTATAGTAGTCTCCTTGATGTACGCCCGTGTGGTTGGCATGGATGTCACCCCGGTCTATATATGTATGGAATACAATCAATCGTTCCCATATTTTTCAGTGCTTACTCTCGAGGCCGAGAAACCCAGGGGGAGCTTAAGGCACGGAGGCGGTTGTGGTACTCGCCAATGGCCAAGAAACATCGCGCCGCCTGACGAACTGTCAGAATCCGGTGCATCTGATGAAGAGTCTGCTGCCTCAAGTTATCAGCCTGGAAATTACACATCTAGCTTTAGCACATGTTGCATAGTTGACAAGTCATATCTTCTCTACAACGCAGACATGAAACATCCACATTTATACATTCTGATGGCATCATAAAGCCTATTAGATGTCAGTGAGCTACATAGTATTGAATAATTAAACTTGACGTTGTCTAAAAAGATCAGCTGCTTATTTTTTTGCGAGTGTGGCCAGACAAATAAAGATGTCCTGACTCCTACATTATCTCTGCGACATTTTTTTATTAATTAACTCTTAGAAGTCCTATCAAGTGGTTACTTGCTCATCTACAAAGTTGAGTGGAGGGCTATATAACACTGACATAATGATCAAGAGTGAAAATTTCATGTGAAACCATAACCTGTATCACAAAACCTTCAAGGTTGGACAGCTTGCCAAGGGCAAGGGCCATTTGACCCATGAAGCTCATGTTGGTGTCATCAATCAGAGATCCACCAGCCATGGTGTCAGCTAGTGACTGATGCAGCTGGTCCAGGCCCTGGGAGAGCTTCCTCCGCCTGCTGTGATGACTGTTGAAGGTTGCATATGCCTACCATTTGATGCTCAGTCAGGGGATCTAGCTGGGGCAGCAGCGTCTGCAGCAACACGAAAAATTATATGTACTGAAATTGAAAATCTTGTACTAAAATGACGTCAGATAATTTCGACTTTGTTCATGTTTTCCTACTGTTGGTCGAAAAATTCTTGTTAATTCAAGTATTGAAAAGGTAAAAACTGTCAAGTGAGGTTTCTACCACAGTAACCTAGATTTAGTTTATCAATCTATGTGAATGCAGTTGTGTACAGTATGTATAGTGCAGGCAGCTTGACATTGTTGGTCCACAGGATCATCGGCTCAGGTGGGTGAACCACTCACCAGTCTTGCCGAGCACCCACTAGCCGTGCCGACCACGAACGAGCATTGTTCGTCCCCACACACTATGGCTACAGCTTGAAGAAGAAGGGAGAACAGAGCATGCACACACAGTACAAGACACCAGCGTTGGCCGAAGTCATGTCTGAGAGATGGCAAATCTGAACTCTCTTTACTGAGTTGCCGTGGTAGTCTATTATACAACTATATCCATCTAGTCCTAGTACAGCTGTCATGCTGCAACAGTGACTAGATAACATACAGGGCTGACTCTGCGTCGGCCTCTGCATGTGCCTACAGTGCTGCAGGTGAGCCATGTGGCGCCTGCACCTGCATAGCTATAGTATCACAGCAGGGGGCCTTTCGGCGCCGTCTTCCCTTACTGTGTTCGCACAAGGTAGCAGTAGATTATTTAACAATCTTTCTCTAATCCTATTGCTAACCCTTGTACCCTCTTCATACCGATCATCTCTTTCAGCTTCGTGAGTCGAAGACGTCCGAGCGGCTTGGTGAGAACGTCCGCGAGTTGTCGACCAGTTTCGACGAACTCGATGACGATCTGCCCTCCATCGACACAGTCCCTGAGGAAGTGGAACTTTACGTCGATGTGTTTACTCCGGTCGTGCAGAACCGGATTCTTCACGAGGGCGATGTCGGGCTAGTTGTCCACCATCAGTGCTGGTGGGTAAGCTTCCACGCCGGTCAGCTCGCCCAGCAGCCGGCGTAGCCACACAACTTGGCACGCCGCTGTGGCTGCCGCTACGTACTCTGCCTCGCACGTAGATAGCGCCACCATCTTCTGTTTCAACAACAGCCATGAAATTGGGGCCGACCCGAGGAAGACGAGCATGCCAGAGGTGCTCTGTCGCGCGTCGATGTCCCCCGCTATGTCTGCGTCGCAGAACACAGTGAGCTGCAACCTACTCCCGTAGGTCTTGGGAAAAATGATCCCCTGATCCACCGTCCCTTTGACGTAGCGCAGTAGCCACTTCACCGCAGCCCAGTGATCCTCTCTGGGATCCTCCATAAAGCGACTAACGTAGCCCACGGCGAACGCAATGTCCGGCCTTGTATGGACTAGGTAGCGTAGACGACCGACGATGCTCCGGTAGAGTGTTGCATCCACCTTCGCCGCGGTGCTGGCCTTCGTCAGCTTCAGCCGCTCCTCCATCAGAGTCACGCATGGCTTGCACTCAGCCATGCCGCTCCTCTCCAACAGCTTAGAGGCATACGCGCTCTGACCGAGCGTGAGTTCCTCCTTCCCCTGTCTCTTCTCGATGCCGAGGTAGCATGAGTGCGCCGAGACCACTCATTCAAAAACGAGCCGCCATCTCATGCTTGAAGCTGTTGACGTCCTCCGTGCACGTGTTAGTGACGATTAAGTCATCCACATACATGCCGACAACGAGCTCCTCCTTCCCCCGTCGCTGTGTGTAGAGCGCGTGCTCGGTTGCGCACCGCTGAAACCCAAGCTCGTCCAGCGTGGCGTTAAGTTTGGCGTTCCATGCTCGTGGGCCTTGCCGCAGCCCGTAGAGCGCCTTGAGCAATCGGAGCACCCTGTGCTCCTCTCCTTGGATGACGAAACCTAGAGGTTGCCTGACGAAGACCGTCTCCGCCAGCTCGCCGTTGAGAAAGGCCGATTTAATGTCCAAGTGATGGACGCGCCAATCCTTTGTTGCTGCCAAAGCTAGTAGCAAACGGACCGACTCCATACGCGCTACCGGCGCAAAGACCTCCTCGAAGTCTATGCCCTCGCGCTGAACAAAGCCTCGGGCGATGAGGCGCGCCTTGTGCTTTACAATGGAGCCGAGCTTGTCCCGCTTGACCTTGTACACCCACTTCAGGCTGATCGGATGGCATCCTGGAGGTGGATCGACTAGCTGCCAAGTCTCGTTTTCCTCGATCGCCTTCATCTCCTCTAGCATTGCCCGTCACCAGTTTCCGTCGCGCTCGGCTAGCGCGAATGTGGGTGGTTCCTCTGCACTGACGAGTAGCAGCTCTGCGTCATTGAGCAGCCTGCCCGCCAGACCTGAGGGACCTGTGCCACCGACGATGTTGTCCAGCTTGCGGAACCGCACCTCCTCACCTTCGTGGAAGGCATCCACGAACTTAGTGATGTCACTCGGAGGTGAGGCGAACTCGATCGGCGTCGATGGAGTTCCCTGTTCTGCCAGAGTGCTTAGCACAACACCTTGAGTGGTCGGCACCCTGGTTGCAGTGCTCGGCACTACTTCTGGACAGTTCGTCATAACTCCTACAGTGTTCAGCCACACTATAGGAGTGCCTAGCCTCAGTCTTGGAGTGGTCGGCACCACTGCAAGACGTCTTGGCTCCGCCATGGGAGTGCTCGGCGCCCGTCCTAGAGTGGTCGCCACCCCCGGCACCACTCCTGGCGTGCTCGACATCCATCCAGGAGTGCTCGACACTTCTCCCGGAGTGCTCGACATCCCTCCCGAAGTGCTCGGCACTACCCCAGGAGTGCTTGGCTCTGCCGCTGGAGTGCTCAGCACTCCTCTCGGAGTGCTCGGCACCTCTTCCCTAGCGTCTCCACCATCGTGGATGACCAAGTGCTCGACGATGAAGGTGCTGGTGAAGGTGCCAGCCCCCCTATGCTCGGACTGCTCCAGTCCCAAGCCGCCTCCTCGTCGAACACGATGTCTTGTCTCCGCGTGGGTCGTAGAGCCGGTACGCCTTGGTACCCTCCGTATACCCCAGGAACACCATCGGTGTGCTCCTGTCCTCTAGCTTGGTGAGGTTCGGCTTCGTCTTCCTGACGTGACCAATGCAACCGAATGTCCGGAGGAAAGACATGCTCGGCTTGCGCCCATACCAAGCTTCGAACGGCGTCTTGCCTGTCAGGGCCTTGGTCAGAGCGCGGTTGAGGATGAACACTACCGTGGTCACCGCCTCCCCCTAGAACCTTGCCGGCATGCCTTTGGCCTTCATCATGGATCGGGCCATGCTGACCACCGTTTGGTTCCGTCGCTCCACCATGGCATTCTGTTGCGGCGAGTACGGTGCGGTGTGGTGTTGCCCCACACCCTGATCCACGCAGTATGCAGCGAACTCTACCGAAGTGAATTTGCCACCGCGATCAGTCCTTAGCATGTGAAGCTTCTTGCTGCTCTCGTCCTCCGCGCGCATCTTGAACTTCTTGATCGCCGCCGCCGCTTCGTCCTTGCTCGTCAAGAGTTGCAGCCACATGTAGCGACTGCAATCATCCATGAGCAGGAGGAAGTACCGCCGACCACCGTTTGTAGCAGGCGTGATCGGCCCGCAGAGGTAGCCGTGGACGAGCTCGAGAGCGTCCTTCGCGCTATACTTGGCCGCTTTTGGAAAAGGTAGCCTCCTCTGCTTTCCAACCAGACAGCTGTCACACAACTTGCCTCCATGCTTGATGTGGGGTAGCCCTCGGACCATCCTCTCCAGTCGACCAAGCGCGTTGAAGCTGAGATGTCCGAACCGGGCATGCCACATCCACGGTTTCTCAGAGTGCCTTGCCACCAGGCACACCGGCTGCTCTACCTTTAGGTCGAGCAGGTACAACCGGTTTAGGGACCTCTTCACCTTGGCAAGAAGTCACTGCTCCTGGTCCCTGATCCTAAGGACTTCGTCCTTGATCATTACCTCGCTACCGCGCTCATCAAGCTGACCAATGTTGATGATGCTGGAACGCAACTGCAGGATGTAATATACATCCGTTAGCGCGCGGTGCTCCCCGTTCTGGCACCTGAAGATAATGGTGTCGCGCCCTTGGATAGCCACCCTTGAGCCGTTACCAAACTTCACCGTACCGGTAACATCGTCGTCGAGCTCAGAGAAGGATGCCTTGGATCCCGTCATGTGGTTGCTAGCACCGGAGTCCAGATACCACCGCTGCTCCTGGTCGGCGCCCACACGTCTGAGGTGAACTTGGGCGCGTGGTTCGTCGAGGTTGACAGTCTTCAGGGCCTTCCTAGGTCCTTCCACCATCGTCGCCTCTTCCTTCTCCTTGACCTCGACGTCGTGCAGTGCATAGAACGTCGTCATCAAGATAGTGACCTCATCCTCATCATCAGCTTGCGCCAGATGAGCTTCAACCTTCTTCTCCTGCTTGCGATTTGGGCACTCCCGTGCTCAATGGCCCATCTTCCCGCAGCGCCGATAGGCATTGGGGTCGACCTGCTTCTTCTTCTCTGAAGAAGCTCTGCCACGGCGCTTGCCATCGCCACCACGGCTGAAGGAGGCTGCCTTCCCGGAGTTCCTCCGAGAAGCCCACTCCTCTTCCGTCAGCAGGAGTTTTCCGCTATCTTTCATTGCTGTCGCCTGCTCCAAGCGCTCGTCCACCGCCCACAGAAGGCCTGTCACATCCACAATGGTGAGGGTGGATAAGTCCAGCATTGTCTCTATGGAGAGAGCGATCTGGATGTACTTTGTCAGCACGGAGTAGAGGTACTTGAAGACCGCCTCCTCTTCGTCGATGGTGACGCCGTGGCTCTTCAGCTTGCTGATGAGCGTCTGCAGGCGGAGGAAGAAGTGTTCCACCGTTTCACCATCCTTAAACTTAAGGTTGGCGTACTCCTGCTTCAGAAGCTGGGCCGTCGCCTTCT